AATTCATCTCAGAATGCAGGTTTGAACTTGGGGTTATGTGGTCTTCTAGCTCATGTTTTAGCCTCAGGGCTTTTATCCACCTCAGAAGTTACACGGTGAACAAAATACACAGTTGAGAGAACCAGACAGACAAAAAAAGCAAAAGTTAGGCACTAACAAATTCTGTTCATAGATGCTTTTGGGTTGTTTTTTTTTTTTTAGCTTCTAGGACAGCCTACACACACTAAATAGAATAACAACAAAAGGCAACAAACCTACATCTCGTCCCATATTTGAATGCATGTCTTTAGGCAGTCTTATATTTCTTCTCCATCAAACATACTCACATTTTTTTTTCTCCAGAAAAAGCATCCAAGGTTGCCAAAGTGAAATAACATTTCAATTATCAGACAGTTTTGCTGATGTCCGCCGGCAGTAAAGTGCTACAATGATGTATGGGTTGTCACTGTGTAATGACAGAGCTGACATACTGTTCTGGTGCTCTTCCTGGCATCTGGATTAATTCAAACATCACTGGGATCTTCCTAGCAATGTCCTGGCACAAACGATTCTATTAATTATGTTGATGGTGTCTTATTGGGCTGCATGATATCAGCATTACTGCAATGGTTCACGAAGAGGTTTGTTAGACCTTGGCAATTATACAGAAGAATTTGGTGAAGGAAAGAGGTGCCCTGTTGTGCTTCTGTTTAATATGCAGCTGATAAGAGTTGTGCTTGCAGCTTCTGGCTTTTTGAGCAATAAAAATGAGATTATTTCTAAGAAGCAGCCATCACCTTTATTAAGGATGTCTTTGCTCTTGATTAGACTGAAATGATTTTACTGCATCTGACACTTCTTTTATAATGGGACTTCTTTAATAAAGATGTCATTTTGGGGGCCGGTAGTGCAGAACAATGCTCAGATAACCATGTAGTGCGATTCTTAAAAGAGGGCAATAGATAGCTTCCAGGTCTTTCTCCATTTTGTGTGTGTGATTGCTAAGGAGATGATGAATGAGAAGAAAAAAAGGTTTTTTTGGTGGTGGTG